TTCTACGCTATCCCTAAACGAATTTTCAATTAACCTTCTCTCCACAAACTCTGCTTTTTAGCACATAGCTTCATTTTTTTTTGTCAATTAATACATACTGCATATAATAATTAAGCATTGGTATCAGCAATATGGCGAATAATAATATCCCCAAAATCTTTTTTTCCATTAACTTAGCTTTTGAGTTAATTTTTTTTTTAAATTTCAATTTTGCAACACTTATTACGCATCATAGTCGTCTATAATAATATGGCAATTTTTTTAGAGTTCCTCTTACTGCATTAATTTTGCTTTTTAGTTCATAGAGCTTATTTCAATATGCACATATTATCGAAAGTAATTAAGACTCTACTGGCGTCAACAATAGTATGGCGATTTTTTACGCTTCTCTGAAGCGAATCAGTACCACTTTTCTATAATTTTCTTTTTAATTCTCGCTAGTTTCAAATTATTTACTTTTATAAAACTACATATATTAATTCGGTGATGGAGTCCACAAATGCTTCCGTGACGCCGTTGGCCATATCACACCGTAACAACAAATTCACTTCGTTTAAAAATCATACTGATGTATACTGTGCAACATAAATATTGAGCTTCGACTTCCAGCTCGTTTTATTTCTTTACAAGATGCCCCCTCCCCCGATACACCATGTTGCTTATATGCAAATTTTCTACTTTACCTTACCGTAATTGGTCTTCTCAATGACTTTTTCCTCTGTTGTAACTGCCTGTTTAGTAGTTATGCTAGTTGTTCCATTTTTGCACACTAGTGTAGCTGGGCGATATTCACCGAAGCGCTTTGGTAATGATTTTAGTAAAATTAACAAAAATGATTATATGTGATAAAATTTGCTGAAATTTGGTAATTTTATCGGGATAACTTAGACCAAATGAATGATTCAAATGTTGTATATTTTGATTGTCATAATCAGAATCTTTTTCAACAGAAAAGTATTTAATATTTTTTTCTCCATGCAAAATTTTTAAAATTTTATTACTGTGAAACTAATTTTAAAATAGGGATTAAATTTTCATTATAAAAATACAAAACAGCAAAAAGTGATTTTTTAACTGCGATAAGTTTTTCTAAAAATATTAAAAGCCGAATCTGCCAGTATAAACTATTTATATAGACATAAGAACATGTGGCTGAAAAAATATTTTTTCTTTCTGACAGTTTCTGCATTTCCACTAAACTGAATTGCGCGTTCGCATTGCAGAAAAGAAATATTTGACTTAAAATTTATGCAAATCAAATAAAATTTTGATATCATATTGCTCATTTCTCGAGAAATGTGCAAAAACTCATATTATTTAATCTAAAGTTCATGAATAATAACAGTGAGAAGCATGCTAGGTTATTATTATTATTTTTTAATATGAAGTGGTAAAAATACTTTCACAAGTTAAATGTTCAACTTTGTGTTACTTATGCAATCTGTAAATCATAGAAATTTTATGTATTTGAAAGTTACGATAAGTTTTTGTAGTATGTAATTACAAATGAAAATTTTTCCCCCCAACTTCGTACAACATCCACCGACATTGCTAACCAAACTGTATTTACCTATTCACTGATACACTTTTCAAATTTTTCTTTTTCATAAATGAAATGTGCAAGGGTTTTTTAAAGATGAGCAAATTGATGCTTTCAATTTTTGATGAAACTAGTTCGTTTGAACTCCAAAATAGGAGCTCCATGAAAAATGATTGAAAAATAGGCCTTTCAATGTCAAGGAGATTTGATTTTTGGAAGATATACGAATTGTAGAATGGATATATGAGATAATACTATTGCACATTTTTATCATCGCTTTTGAAAAAAAGAGTGTAATATTGACAAATTTTATTTGCGTTTCAAAAAATAAAAGAGAGCCTGACAGTGACCTCCCATCCTGGCACCCCTGTAAATGTTCTGTGAGATTAGAGTTATGGCTTGAGAAGTGCTTGAGGAATTAGAACAGAACGTAATAACCAAATTGCAATGAGTTTTTATTTTTAAATCTTATCTCAAGACAGAGAGGGAAATAATTTTAATACTTATGTTGCCTACTACCAATTCAATGGCGGCCAAAACGATTTTATATTGTAACTAAAATTCGATATCAAATAAACTTTGACAATATAGCGGACATCTCTTAAAAATAGTTTAAGTTGAAATTGAATTGAATCCGCGCAGGCAAAGCCACAGGCAACAGCCAGACGTGGATAACATCTGGTTAATATATTGCTCATAACTAATTAGGGTGTTAGAATTGGAGGAGAGGGAGAAAATGGGATATTTAAATAGTCATGTTCATGTGCTGTGCATTCGGCTTGGTTATCATTGGAGTTTATGTGTTTTACAAGATAATTTTGAAAAGTGACCTAGATGGCTGCTAAAGGCGGCTAGTCCTTTGTATCAATTGTGCATGGACATGCGTGGAAACATTTTTTTATATAATTCAATTAAAAAGTTGGGAAAATGACCAGGTTATTGAGAAGAGGATTTCTTTTTAGCAGATTTGACGACCCTTTCATTTTCTAAAATTCTGCAGTGATCGGGGATGTAGTAGAAAACAATTTTATACAGGGATGCCAACTGCTCCTTGTTTTGCAAAATATTTTCTTAAGTTCTGGAGAATTAAAAACAAAATCTTGCAAAAAGTTGGTTAATTCCCTTTTCACTTTATAAGGCTGACAATGAGGTAACTAGAACTAAGATGAGCTTGATGAGAACCTTTGAATCAGTGATATGGAGATTTTAATTCAAATTTGATTTTAAATCAAATTTGGCAACAAAGTGAAGCAAGTTAGCATCGGAAGTTTTACACAAAAAAACTTGTGGGCGGAGGCTCTCAACCATTTCTCTTCTATCTAATTTGTGTCAAATTTCGGAGCTAGGAAAAAGGTTCAACGGGTTCAATTCTGTAATGTGCTATGCTTGTTCCTAAGGGAAAAAATTTAAATTTTTAAGTCTATTTCATTTGATTTCGTAGATCAATGAGGCAAATTTTTACGTTTTGGCTATAAATTCGGCCATCTAAGCTTGCTTTGACACAAAATTAGAAAGAAAAAAAATCCTTTGTTGCTCATTGATGCAATTTATGAATTGAATTTTAATATTTTAAGATATCATCAGATGAAAGGTTATAAACAGATTTTATTGCACAAAAACCATTCTCAAATCATAAAAGCAGTAGACACTTAAAAACTTGTTCCAGCAATAAACATAGGGATGCAAATTTGCAAATAAATTGTTTTGGCTCTCAATTCTGCTGCTACAAACATGGATCTCACAATAAATGAGACCAATACCAAATTTATAAGAATCTTACCTTCCATGGTAAATAGTGGCAACTTTATATTGATTAATGGACACATCTTCAAAAGGGTTTAAAAATTAAAATACCCTAACATAAGAGGTGCACAACCTTTTTGAGTGAAGGGCCGCAGCACAGCAGATTGACCAATGAAGGGCCACATTCCAAAGTATTTAGACATGTTGACAGCCACTTTTGGTAGTAATTGTTATCTAAACATCCCTCTTTGAGGAACTTGTTTTTTTTAATCACTTAACCTTGTATTATGTTTGCATGAAATTGAATACTTTTCAATGTTTAAAATTAGAAACTGCAAAACGGATTACTTAAAAAAAAGAAAGAAAAAAAATCAGAATAAATTCACCAGAAAAAAAAATTCAGATAAATTGAAATAATTAAAACAATGGAAAAATTCTTGTTTTTCTTATCATATTACATAATACAAATATACATTTGAACATAAATTTTAACATTAAAAACTTTTAATGTTCATAAAATTAAATATTCTAGTCATTAAAATAAATGCAAGTTAAATACTTTTGAAATTGAGTAAAAAAAGAGTTTATAGGGAAAAAAATGATTAAATAAAAATTATAGACTTTCAGAGCAAAATAAGACTCAACATAGGGAATATACTTCAACTTTAAAGCATTTATTTTAAATAATTTATAAGAGGCAGGGGTTGAGAGATGAAAGAAAAAGAAAACATTGATCTTGAAGGAACTATTTTCCTTAATAATAAAAAAAACAATTAAGATATTTGTTTTTAACTCTTCATGGCCAATACTTCATTAACAATTAATTAAACATTATTTACACCAAAAAAAAAAAACGAAGAAAAATTTTCTGTTTTGAAAGAACCTCTTATATTTATGTTAAATAAAGCACATAAAAAGTAATTATTTTCATGCGCGATTCAAAATTCGCATGCCGTGAAAGTATAGTACTAAACACTTCAGAATTTTTTAAATCATGTAGTAACAACTACTGAAAAATCATAAAAATCCCTTTATATTTACAAAGAAATCGGCATAAATAAAGCACATCAAAAAAGTGATTTTATTTAAATGATGGATACAAAATGAAAGTGTTGCAATAGCGTATAAAAAATATCAGGACTTTGAAAACCTCGTAGAAATATGAAGCAATAATTGCCAAAATAACGATTGAAAAATAATTGGATTTGCGATAAAATCGGCACAAATAAACCACATAAAAAAATGGTTATCGAAATGAGAGGTGTTACTTGCGATTCGTAATAGTATTGGGCTAAAAATGTAGCAATTTTAAAAACCAAGCGGAAATGAGTAGCAATAACTGCTGAAAAAAGTAATTTAGATTTGAGCTGAAGTTGGCGCAAATAAAGCGTTTAATCGCTTTCAAGACGTTAATACAGATTTGGAAAAAAAAAAAAACGATTTCAGAAACTAAGTAAAATGGGTAGCAATTACTACTGAAAGGTCATTGGATTTACAATGAAATTGTTACACAAGAAGAGCGCAAAAAATGGTAACTAAAATTAAAAATTTGTGTATCGTAATAATAGCATATCAAAAATATTTAGATTTTCAAAACTAAGGGTAAATCCATAGCGTTAACCATAAAAAAAAAAACAATTAAAAAACTACATCGATTGAGATAGGGTGCGCCATAAACTTGGATTAGAAATTTCCGAAACTTTTTTTTTTTTCAAAAAAAATAAAATAAAATAATAAATGAATAAAATATTTTCATTTTGTTCAGGTTGCTGCCGCGGACCCAGGTTGTGCACCCCTACCCTGGCACAATATTTATAACAACAAAAACTAAAAAAATTTACTTAATTTGGCTAAAAAAAGTACCTTAAGGCTGAGACCATTACACTTTCACCATTACATTTCTTCTGCTTATTTTGAATGTTGCGTTTAAATGCATCAGATGCACTATTTAACAGTAAGGATTTCAATTTTGAAGTTTTCTGTTCTAAAGAATGGTCCTTACTGTTTCCAAATTGAGATAGAGTTGAAATTAGATCACATTCCTCTCAATTAAAAACAATTTTAGAATTGGAGAATGCAAAATCATCTTTCGATCACATTTTTAAGATACGTCTTGATCGAGCTGAGGTGAATGTTAATCTTTAAGAAAACTATCACCATTACATTTCTTCTGCTTATTTTAAATGTTACTCAGATGCACAATTTAACAGTAAGGATTTCGATTTTGAAGTTCTCTGCTTTAAAGTATGGTCCTTGCTGTTTCCAAATTGAAATGGAGTTGAAAGTGGATCACATTCCTTTCCATTTAGAACAGTTTTAGAATTGGTGGATGCAAAATCATCTTTCGATGTTACCATTGTCTTTTTACATTGCTTCATTACAGTAAATGGTGAGAGTACAATAGGTGAATGATGTGAAAAAAGGGCTTCAATACCTTTTAGTGATCCAGAATCATCATTAAAAGAATTAAATTTCTGTGGCGATGGTTGATTATTTTTAAACTTTTTCACAGCAGAATAATTTATGTTAGAATGCTTTGGGCTTAATAATTCGCGGTTAACATTGTGACAATTACTTTCAGAACTTTTTGATTCATCAGATCTCTTTCTTTTTTTAGATGCAGTTAATGTCCGAAATCTAGTGTTAACAGGAGTTATTTGATCCATTTTTCTTTCACACAGTTTATTATTCAAGTTTCTTAAACCTCGATCACTTCTAGTGCTACCAAATCTTTTATTTGAATCTAATTGACTTTTATCAAAACTTCCTCTTGAAGGTGATGTTAAAAAATCAAGTTCCGTTGAGGATTCATTATTTATTTCTAGCTGGGTTTTGAAAGAATCATTAATATTTCCATTATCAGATAAATGATAACTTGATTCCTCACTTCCAGTGCTACCAAATCTTTCATTTGAATCTAATTGATTTTTATCAAAACTTCCTCTTGAAGTTGATGGTAAAAAATCAAGTCCTTTTGAAGATTCCTTTTTTACTTTTAGTTGGGTTTTGAAAGAATCATTAATATTTACATTATCAGATGAATGATAACTGGATTCGTCACTGTTTTCACATAAAGACTCTGAGTTATCCTCACTTAAATCTTCATTAAGTACACTGTCATTTGAACAGAAGGATTTATTTTCAGAAAAACAATCATCAATATTAAGTAAATTTCCATTAATATTACAGTAGGTATTGTCAGTTGAAATATTACTGCAGCTGGGTTTAGAGTTTTGATAGTCCTTTTTTTTCCTTCTCAAAGATTTGGATTTCGAACTTAAAATATGCTTTCGTTTTCTATATCCTAAAAAAGAAAAGAAAACTAAATACAAAGAACAATCCATTTGCAAATTCAATATAAAAATGATTCAAGGAAAGTCTTATAAAGGTTTATAGTATTTTATTGTAGAAAAGTTATAGTTTCGATAGTTTCTATTTTACAGTAGAAAAAATAAATAAAAAGCTAGAAAAAATATTACATAAAACATGACTGTTATTAACTGCACAACTTTTTAACATAACAAGTAGCTTTTTAAATAATATCTATTTTCTTAATATTACATTTGAGATTAGCACATAAACTACTTCGAATCATTTTTCTAGGTTTTATAACAGGTACAATCACAAATCTTTTTTATGAAGTCACTATGTAAAGTGCAAAAAAAAATTTTCTTATTATAATTGTTCTAATGACATGAATTAAATTTAAAGCAACCAAAAATTTAACAAAATTAAAAACAGTATATTAAGTTGCAATGTTAACTGAATAAAATGATTATCAAAATCTAATGATCTTTTAGTTGAGAAGATTTAAATTTTTAAGTAACACTCTGCTTATCTTTAAGAAATTAAAATAATAGCGTAACTATCTATAACTTAAAGCATTATAATAACATTAAGTGAAATGATAGGTATAACCAAAACTGTTATATTCTGCATCTTCATATTAATTGATTTTAAATTTAAAACGCAGAGTAAAAAAAAGAGATGAAGCAATAAAATAGCTAAAAAAAATACAAAAGTAAATAACTACATATAGTCAGATAGATGTAGTTATTTAAACCTGTTTTATTTCTTCTTAAAAGTAAGTGTGATATAAAAAGCTTAAATTATAATTTTACATTGAAAAAATAACAATAAATAGATGAAAAATATGAAATCAGGGAAATTTAATAGATAATTCACTCTAGAAATTATGTTCTTTCTTTCATTTTTGAAAGGACTGGATAAAAACGTTTTATATTTTAATAAAATATCACAGTATGAGGGGATTTTGTTACAAATTCAAATATTCAGAACATCGGAACACTGAAATTGAGAGGAGGGGGTACATTACATTTTAAATATTAGATTTTTCGGCAACCAAAATCCCTCACTTTTCATGATCTTTTTTTTAAAAAAAAAAGTTAAAATCATGACATTTCATGACAAATTTTGTTCAATACCAAAATCCATGACTTTCCAGGTGCGTGGATACCTTGCGAAGAGTAAAATAAAGCTTGGTTATAAGCAAAAAAGAAAAAGGAAACCACAAGCATAAAAACATAATTTGAGGTGGGTGCTTCAAAAAAATATGTAGAAATAACACATAAAATTATTGTCCACTTAGAAATTGTAACATTCATGCATCATTCTCTTCTCTAAAGCAAACGATGGAGTTTTCTAATAACTAACACTTCCTATTTTCGAAGAAGGTAAGAAAAAAGTTTCTTTTTTTCACTCTACTGTTAATAATATATAATTTTAATCAACGTGAATTTTTGATCTTTCAAATATTTTCTTCCTACCCTTTGAGATTTTGAGGTTTGACTGTATATAAGGCTATAAATAAATAACTATAATAATATGACTATATATAAGAGGTTTGAATGTATACATAAATATACCACGTGCGTTTTAATTCCCTATACACATTATACGCAATATATTGAGAGGAAACAACAATTTAATTACTGTGCACTTGTATGAGCTATATTGGGCTTACTATATTTATTAGTTTTAATTGCTGGAGATTACGCTTTGCGTGGCAAAATAAGGAACTAAATTCCCTGTATTTTCCCAGTTTGTAAAGAAAAACCAAAATTCCCTGCATTTTTCCTGTTATTTGAGGTGATTTTTAAATTCCCTATATTTTCCAAGTTTTCCCAGTGGAGTGGCAACCCTGTTGATGTTGTTTTCAAAATATATGCTGCAACTGTGGTTAATATAATTACAGAAAGATAATATTCATCTCTTCTTTTTTTTAACAAGATGGGCACCTCCATTAGCTCACGGATCACTAATTAACAAACTTCCTCATCGTTGGAGTGAATGTGGGTCGGATGACGACAATCAACTTCTTACAAGGTCTACTGCACTTTCCAGACTAATTCCCCCCCAAAAATTTTTATGGGGTTACTTCAAAGATTATGTGTTGGTGCCACATGATTTAACATATTTACAATGAGGGGTCACAACCACATTCTCATTAATCCTCACATGTTGCAACGAGTACGGTAAGAATTTGACTTGAAGACTGTTCACAGGTTGAACATCTGTGAAGGTCGAGAGTACTAGTACAATGTTCTAATGCTTCATTTAAAAAAACCAGAATAGTGAGTAAGCACATTTTATTTCTAACACAAAATATTTTTCAGTTACCATGTTTTAGAATTTAAAAAAATTAAGGCTGATGTTTATTTTTTGGTTTAAACTAGTTAAAATAAGCCATCCTTTATTAAAAGAATTTTCTTCAATATATGTTTTAAAATAGTATTGAATTATTACAGTGATGATTAATGATAGTGTTTTGATAAAATCTATGGAGCAAATCTTGAAAAAATGGAGCAGCAACTTTGCATTTTTGTTAACAATTTAAAACAACAGCTTAAAAATCATGAGGAGCAATTAGACTTTAGATAGAAATCAACTTTTTAATGCAATAGAAATATAGGAAAAAGACAACATGAACAGAAGTTTCTTAAATTCACCACTTTCCAACTTAAGAGGTATTGTTTTTGTTTATTGGGTTAATCTAGAGCAAATCTAGGAAAGAAGTCTGATTTACAGAAGGTTCAGTACAATTTTTAGACAGCCCAATGTGGGTCAATGCCTTCCTCTGAAGATTTCTCCTTAACGACTTTCGTTTTATCTTTGATCTCTTCTTAACCTCTAAATTCTTTTCAATAAGTGCAAGAAAATCAGACTCCACCGAATCAGCCCATCTCAACCACAGCATTCCCCGCTTTCTTGTCCCAATGAGTCTAAAAAGCAATATCTCTTTTATGGTATTGTCATCATTCATTCAAATCATGCGGGTTATCCAATTATTTTTATGAATTTAATAACATCAGGTTATTTATAAATCTCATAGAGCTCAATGTTTAATCTCCTTCACCAGTAATTGCTTTCATTTACCACCAAGTATACTCCACAAAATCTTCCAGTTTTGTTTTTGTCCAAGCTTCAGATGTATATGTCAAGACCGACAAGAGTTATATAAATTAAGAACTTTGCTTTTCTAGAAAGAAACCTAGATTTAATAAATCTTCTCAGCCCATAGACAGATGGCCTTATTTGCCAGTGTACTGTTACCTCTCAAATTCAGGTTTAAATTATCTAGTGATCAATATAGTAACTTTGGCAACAGTATTAACCAGGTTAGAAAAAAAACCAATCAAGAAATTATTTGCAACATTAAACATTTACAAAAAAATTTATTGATACAAAATATTTCCAAAAAAAACAAACTCAAATCACTTCCAAATGCTATTACGCAGATATCACATGTGTACAAATTATTAGTTACTTCGTGTTTAAATTTTAGCAATACGAAATTATATTTTCAATAAAAGCAATTAAAAATAAAAGGCACATTTATCTTAAAATTCGATAAAAGCAATTAAAAATAAAGGTAAATCATTCTTTTAAAACTATTCTAAAATCGAACTTCAAACCAGATTATGAACCAAATCCCTTGAGTCGGTATTCCCACCAGTATTGCAGTCAGAACTTGTGGAACAGATCAACACTCCAGTTTCTGATCCGACAGCACACTGAAACTCTTTTCAGGCTTCCTTTTAGTACAGCAGTTAGCACCTGCGGATCAGCATACTTTCAGCGATGGGACCACTTGGACAGGCAATCCGATTCTTATTTAGAGGCTCCAGCCTAACTTTGCTCACCACTGTCGTTCATCAAATCTCTCCGCTATTCTCCACCACCTTTTATCCACATATCAGCAAATGAATCTTAGACTGACCGTTTCCCTCCCACGAGCAGCAGCGTAACATCAGTGAACGTCACAAAAAAAAAAAATAGTCCGGCGATAAAAACAGTCACGAATTAAATAATACTTAATAAAAGTGATAAAACAATACTAATTAAATAAAAATAAAATCAAATACACATAATTCAATCGAAAATTTCATTTAAAAAGACAATTAAAATTTAAGATAAATATCACTATTATGATTCAATTATGAAACTTATAATAGTGGTACCACCTGGTGGCAAATCATGCTATACACCCTAAAAACTCACAAGAATTCAATAATAAGCAGAGCTAACCAGTGCAGTCCTCTATAGAGGAAATAAGTGAACTATTTCTGCTGGAAAAGTCAACCCATCTTTAAAAGTATTTAACAAAAAAATAATAATATTACATTTTTATTTATTAAGCCAGATAGAGTCCGTTTTTTATTTTAGAAGACATTCTGTTATCAAAGACAATCTGTTACCAATATCACCCAAGTAAGTATAACTCCTAACTGATTCAAATCTAAAAGAATCTATTTCAAGACAGAGATCTGGGACTCTGTTTTTTAAAAATAAAATGCATTTTGTTTTCTTTACATTTACGAACTAAACCCATTTGTTTTGCAGTCACCTAAGGGCAAGAAATGCCTCTTTCAAGACAGGAAGGAATGAGCAACTACATCAATATCATCAGCATATGCAAGTAGTAGTACTGATCTAGTAAAAATACGACGGCTGATATTGATGTTCGGATCACGAATAGCTCTTTCAAGTGCAATATTAAAAAGAAGACAAGATAGAGAATCTCTCCGTTAAACACCTAAAATGTGCCCAAATTTTCTGACAGAGATCCCAGAAACTTAATCTTACACTTTATATCTTTCAATGTATGCCTCGTCAGTTTAACGAGTTTTGAATTTATTTTGGAATCCTTCACTGATTCAAGAAGATAATTTCTATTGATACTATGAGAAGCAGCCTTGAAATCAATAAAAAGATGTGTTTCAATGTTAAATTCCATTGAGTTCTCTAAAATCTGATGGGGACAGAATATCTGATCTTCAGTTGATTTTCCAGCATAGAATCCACAAAGATATTTCCTTTGTCTCATTGTTCGCCAGAGTGCAATATGTTTGCTTATTTCAAGTTCAATATATTTTTAAATACAGTAGGGAACCGATTATCCGGAACGATCGGGACCATCGCTATTCCGGATAACTGATTTTTCCGGTTTTCTGAATCGCTACAAAAAGCCGTTTTTTTTATTGTTAAACCCAACTAAAAAAAAAAAATATTTGGAAATAATTTTAAAAAGAAGAAAAAACTATGAAGTAATACACTAATGATTATTTCCAAAATGATGGTAAGGAAAACATTGTTCAAAAAAGAAAGAAAAATCCTAAAATCTTATGAGGAAAAAAACATTTTTAAAAAAAAAAATGGCGGGAAAATTTATCGAATTTCATTCCGGTTTTTTGGTTTTCTGATTTCCGTATAACTGGTTCTGTACTGTAAATAGTTTTCCTTGGAAACTTTGTTTCTGTTTTAATAATGCAGTAGCTAATTATTATTGGAACTATTAAATTTAGGTGAAACAGCCACCAATAACAGTAAAATATAATTTCAATATGCACTAAAAACTTGAAAGTACCCCTATGACAGAAAATTTTGAATAACTACTATATTACCTTTATATAACACTCCATTCCTTTTCTTAAACATATTCTGTTTCTTTCTAATATCCAATCTGTCTGTAAAAATATTTCATTAAAAAACGTATCTTAAAACTCTATAACAATTAAAATCTTAAAAAAAAAAAAAAACTTTTTTAAAAACAAAATTACTTTACAATTTGAATATTATTACAATTATCATTAGTCTTAATAAACAATAATGGTAAAAATACATAAATAATTAATTTTAAAAAAATTAGATACAGGCATACTCATAATTCCTTCAAGGGTTAAACAAAGCTGTTAGAAAAGAATAAAAAGAAAAGAAAAAACTAAATATAGCAAAAACAAACCTAGCATTAAATACAGAAATTAAAGTTTTATTTAAAATAATTTATAAGTTCCAATTTCATTGAAATTTAAGCTTTTATCCAGAGAAATAATAAGAGAGTAATGCATTAAACTATTACTTGAAGTTTAAATAAACTAAAAATTAAAAAAGCTAATTGTGAGTTACAGGGGATATGAAACTATATAATAATTTCTACTAACTGTATATAAAATAAGTAGCTATTTGAAAAACATAATTTAATTATATAAAGCTGTGATAGCTCAGGGGATATAGCACTTGCCTCCCATGAGATGGTGACTCAGGTTCGAACCCTAGAGATGGTTGATCATTATAAAGCCCGCACCCAGCTTGCAATAACTAGTGCTTACGTAAAATATCCTCAGTGGTAGGTGGATCATGGGTTAGAGAGTAGAGACCCCTTGCCGTTAGGCTAACCGTGGAGGTTTTGGTGATTTTCCTCTCTATATAATGCAAATGAGGATTAGTTCTATCAAAAAGTCTTCTATCAAAAAGTCTTCTACAAAAGCAAATTTCTCCTAATAATTGATCTAGGAATTCCCTTGTCTTCTGGATAGGGTTCAAAATTACAAGGCAACGAAGTTGAATATTGATAGTCGTAAACACAAAAATTGGGTCAGCTGTTCGACAAAGGTTATAAAATAAAATAAAATTCAATTATACCAACTTAATTTTATGATTACTTAAATATGAGTACTTTAACTTAGTAAGAATGTAATTTGCGCCAAGAAATATTGATGAGAGAATTGTTGTGCTAAAAGAAATAAAAATTATTATGACTAGTTTTTTAAAAAAAATCTTTTTTGATCTAAATTAGTTTATGTTTCATTAGCTGACTGATAAATTTGGTTTTTGGCTTAACAAATTCGCGAAAGTATTAAGCAATTTTAAACATTAACAATATAATTTATCAGAGTTTTGATTAACGTATGTGACATTAAAAGTAAATCTGATTGAAATAAAAATATATATTGATTCTCGGAAACCTTGATGGTGATAATTTCATACAAATATTTGGAATAGGAAGTACATAGTTAATAAGTTAGATCCTTCTGAACAAAAAATATAAATATTCTTTGCTTTTATAATACGTGTAATCAAAAGGAATTTTTGTGTGCAAGTTTCTTATTATTGGTTAAAATAAATAATTATTAAAAAACATGAAGAAAACATATCTTTATAAATCAAATTACCATAATAAAATAATTGAGTTTCTTCATAATTTTTTATTGATCAAATATTTTCATTAATACTTTACTTTTGAAATAAATAAATATTGATAATTAACCAGAGAATTTTATATTTATCTAATCAAAGTGGTAGCGCATCATGATCATCTGTCATGGGGCCAGGATTCTATCCACAGATCGAGCAAAGTTTACTCGCCTTTCATTCCTTGAGCGAGTCGATAAAATGAGCACCAGGCTAGCTTGGGAACTAAGCATTATCGTCCCCGTTCGGCTGGTTATTCAATCGGGACATCTGCTCCAGCCATCCAAGGTCAAGAAAACTCGCCCTCAAAAGGCACCACTGAGCTTAGTTTAGTTTTTTAATCAAAGTAACTTCCAGAAATGTGTTCTATATCAGCTATGTGTCGCAAAAATAGTTGTACTTTATTTCAATATAATTAAAAGAGTTTAATTTAGAAGTGAAAATTTAAAATTACCTTGCAGGGGTAAACAATAATCATTAGCAAAAGCAAAGTTTTTTGATTTCATTTGTTCCAGGTAATCTGTAATAAGAATGCATAAAAATAAAGAAACAACATCACATAAGCTGAAAATGCATAAAACAATCATAAACAAAAAATTCCTAAATTGAAAACTCATCAGTACTCTATAAAGACACATAGAAACTTTTTCGGCTCCGGATCACTGGTCTATAATTGTGCTTAAAACATTATCAAAATAATAAAATCAAATGATGTTATAACCATCCCTTGATTTTGTGTTGAATTTGCACCACAATATTTTATTTTGTTACGGGATAGGACAAAAGCTACTAGAATTAGAAGGGCAACTGCACAAGTTGCCTTACATTGAAAATGGTAATGACCACCAAGGCTAAGAGAAACCTGTGCATGGCTACCATAATTTCAGGATTGACGTCACAAATTTGATTAGATAACATAGTATAAAGCTCATTCTTTAAGCACCATGGCAGAGAAAAGCATATGATGGTTTTTATGATAAAATATTATTGGATTAAAAGTTTGGCATTATACATTACTAATGTTGTGACATCATAACCTGTAATAGCTATAAAAATCCACTACACATATAGAAGTAAATATCTACAAAATCAAATAATAAAGAATTATGAGGAGAGTTGGTTTCAATAATTATCCCGAAAACGAAAAGATCATTGAGAGTTCAAGGGTGGTTCATTATTTAAATGCATAAATATTTTTATTGTTCTTTAACATTAATTTTCAAGTAAATATTTCTATTATGTGCGGCCTATAGAAGTTTTCTACATGAGCATTTTATAATTACTCTGATAATGCATTAAATAAGAAAAGTATAAAAGTTTTTGAATTTTCCTTTAACAATGTGACATCAACAATTCCATTACAAATTAACTTTTCAAACAAGTTTTTGTTTCGAAAAAAAAAAAAGGTATAGCATACTATTTAAAAAATCAAACACAACATATCTTTTTGCATAATGAACTGAGTTTTTCAGAGTTTCAAAAACATCTTTTGAAGAATTTGCAACTGCAAAAGCTGATTCAAAGACTGTTGAAGTCATTAAAATTCTCCGCACTCATACTACATTTAAAAGAGGAGCATTTATCACTATATTTGACTATCTTCTGTGGTAAATTATCCACATTCATTATAAGTATTACTTAAAAATGGTTTTTGTCCTAAAAGCAAAATGAAGCTTTAAATTTATACTACATGTATAACTTCCCAGCCGTCTGCCCAGACATTTTGTGAAAGGACAGTTTTTGTAAAATTGAGAAAAAATTACTTGTAATTTGTGAATATAAAATAAACGTTAAGTCACATTCTTTCAACCAGGGTCTGCTTTTGAGAATTTGCGCAAATAGGGTCCATTATTGCAAAAAAACTTTTTCAATGAGCTTTTAAATTGTAAAAACATACAATGCTCAAACAAACATACATACAATGCTCAACACTGTAAAATTATAATTAAAAAAATTACATTTTAAAAAATAAACAGCAATTGCAACTACAGTACGGAACCCGTTATCCGGAAATCAGAAAACCGGAAAACCAAAAAACCGGAACGAAATTCGATAAATTTTCCCGCTATTTTAAAATAAAAAATATTTTCAAGATTTTAGGATTTTTCTTTCTTTTTTGAAAGATGTTTACCTCACCATCATTTTAGAAATAATCATTAGTGTATTACTTCATCGTTTTTTCTTCTTTTTAAGATTATTTCTAAATATTTTTCTATTTTTAGTTGGGTTTAACTATAAAAAAACGGCTTTCTGTAGCGATTCAGGAAACCGGAAAAATCAGTTATCCGGAATAGCGGTGGTCCCGATCATTCCGGATAATCGGTTCCCTACTGTACTAAATTAGCGATGCAACATATAAATATTTGGTATTTAGCCTATATTGCTCAACGCAGAACATTCATTTCGGACGAATAAAGGAAGAAGCGTCTGCCGAAGACAAAATCTAGTTTGCTTACATTTGTTTTTCTCCCCCCCCTTCCTGGGAAGGGTTTATTCGATTAACAAAACAATAATGAAGATAAAATTTTTTTTGAAGGGTCCGATTAAAAGGTAAATTACTTTGTGAAGGGTCCATTTTTAGGTTAAAATATTTTGAAAAGGGTCCATTTTTATGAAATGATATTTTGTGAAGGGTCTGTTAACGGAACCAAATTTTCTCTAAACAGATCTCTGCTTCCTGAAAATTTTGGTGGAACACAACCACAGAGTAGACAGTTATTCTTACTGGTAAATAAACAAAAACACAGATCATATAGTGCACTGCTACCTACTTTATATCTATAAAATAAAAATAATTATTAATTATCTCGTTAGGAAGAGGAAGTTAAACATAAAATCCAAAAATAAATAACAATCTTAAACTATTCATTTAAACTGAATATAAAATGATGAAGGAAATTAAAAATAAATTNTTTATATCTATAAAATAAAAATAATTATTAATTATCTCGTTAAGAAGAGGAAGTTAAACATAAAATCCAAAAATAAATAACAATCTTAAACTATTCATTCAAACTGAATATAAAATGAAGGAAATTAAAAATAAATTGTAAGGAATATCCGCATTATAATTAAAGATTATATTTAACGCATAACACTGCTATGACTTGCGACAGATAAATTAAAGGAGTAATGCCATCATCTGTCAAATCAATCTGTATTTTCAATAAACGCAAAGCTTTATTTATGCTTTTTTACTTAATATATCTAAGTTACTTCTTTAAACTATTGTTATGTTTGGAAGAGAGAATGTGACAAAAGTTTGATAATGATAGAGCTCATAACCATTTACTGAACTTAATCAGAACAATCATTCAAATCAAATATAGACAATTTTAATAAAGGGCTGTAAATTTGAATTTCAATATTTTCTTTCAGTTACATTAAATGTAGTAAATGGAACTAATTGCATTGCAATAATTTCTTCAACATGACATGACTTTCATTTTTAGCGACAGTTTTCATAAACTTACTTAATTTCTGAACAATACAATTTTTACAACAAGTCTTTGTTTTCGAAAAATGCTTATCATTGTGTAACTTTAATTAAATATTAAAATAAGGAAAATTTCTAATAGAAGAATAAAAAATCATAATAAAACACTACATATATCTATCCAAACTTATTGAGTTAATTAATTTATTCCTTAAATTTAAGGGAAGGTTAAAAATTCCCAGTGGCAAATATGTTACTTTCATCCCAACTAAAAACATTTATTTAATGTTCAAAGATATTACAAATGTCTTTCTTTTTCAATAGTTGTTGTTGAAACTTTAAGGAATTGTTGATGAAGAGTTGTTGTAAGTTGAAAAAAAAAAAAAAAAAANAAAAGAAAAAAAAAAAAAAAAAAAAAAGGTTAAATATCCTCAAATTGTCAAGTGAATTAATAATTCTGAAATATAATATTGAAGTTGCCTTGATAGCTCCTATCTAAATTCTTCATTTGATATTACCAATAATACTCCCCACTATTTATATCTCCTTACTATTTTTTTTACCAAACTTGAAGATTTGGAAATAAAAATATTTATGAACTAAATTCTTCATTATGTCAATAACAAATCAACCTTCCAGCGATGTAAAATGTAAAAAAGGTGACCGCCTCCTTTACAAGAATATAAGGGGGGGGGGGAGCAGTTATTCTCAAATAGAAAATCTTATCACCACAATAATTAATAGATTGTTAATTCAAAAACATTGTATATTAAATTTATTACTTTGTTGCATTAAAATTGAGAATAGATGGTAAAATATTTTATTACCCCTCCTCTCACTTTTATCAAGAAATAAAATTCATTAATGAAAGAACTATGTTCAGCAAATATTTTTTATACATTCTTCATTGCACTAAATATGGATGATAAACAAACTCTCTTGGAAATACTTTTCCGAAGATTCAACGAAGATAATATGCCGACTTTTCTCTACTCTATGGACTTAAACAGACAAATATTTTTTTAAAAAAAAGCTTAACTTTTCTCTTCCTTAATTTGGTGTGAATCCTACCATCTGAATAATTTATTAAAATCTACAAATATTTCTCTAGTATTGCACATAATATAGCAGTAAAATGATAAAATAACTTCTCAAATATCAAAAAAATGAGATTGTAAACACATCTCATAAAAAATAAATAATAAGTAAAAAAAACCTGTTTATTATATATTGACATTTTGAATTATTTTTATAGTCAGCATAAAGAGCACTTCTAGAGATAGACAAAGCTTAACTTATTTAATAATAAATAAAAATAACAGCTGTAAAAGTGAAGATAAACATTAAAATACACTGAAACAACAAGACTTATAAGCAAGTTATTATCAAATAACTTCAACTTTAAGTTTTCAATAGTATAACACAGGTGAAACAGAGAATTTAAAATTTTCTTACCGTCATTATTATATACAGAGAAATCATTAAGATCTACTTCAGCATTGCAATGTCCTTCTTGACTCATTTTTACGTACTAAAAAATAAATATTTGTAGAATTAAGGATAGAAATTTAATTATCTTTTAGAATACACAAAAAGAAACTAATTTTCAATTATGAAACAGAAAATTCTTGATACTTGAGGGGAATTATAAATCGACTATGTCAACATTCATCTATCAAAAGGTACCTCAAGATGGATTCAAGTTAACATGTCTTATATACTAGTGATTTGGTATTTCATATTTATAGTGGTAGTTACGCCACATACTAACCAAGGTTGGGTTTTTGACGTCAAAAAGTGGTTTTTGACATGACAAGGGTATAATACTGGTTTAAACCGTCAAAAACCCGTCAAAAATGTCAAAAACTGAAGTTTGCCAAGAAAATATATAAACTTCAAAACTACCAACAGTTGCCATGNTCATCGGTTTTTTCTTCTTTTTAAGATTATTTCCAAATATTTTCTTTTTTTTAGTTGAGTTTAACAATAAAAAAAACTGCTTTTTGTAGCGATTCAGAAAACCGGAAAAATCAGTTATCCGGAATAGCGATCGTTCCGGATAATCGGTTCCCTACTGTACTAGTGAACTGGCATTTAATATTTATAGTGGTAGTTACGCCACATACTAACCCGATTTATTTCCATTATTTTACAGTTTACATAAATCAATACACTTCTTTTGAAAAACAGAAGCATAAATACAGGCACAAGTATCACATCTATGATTTTCTTAATACTAACTTACATTTAATTCCTTTTTGAGAACATTGTCATCTGTTTACACATTGCGCCACTAGTTTGTTTTAACTGCAGATTTTAATGACACGCCTGGACATCTTCGTATAGTTGGAAGGTAGTTTTTTCCAGAGAGTTCTTCATAAAATTGACACATTTATAGTAAACATATCAAAAATTATGATTTAGTATTTTACTATAATATGCGTTATGCTATATATGTGTTTACTATAAAGATGTGTTACAGAGACTCTGAAAAACGTGAAATTTTTCATTAATACTACAAAATACCTCAGAACCATTCTGGCCACAGCGGTCACTCTAGGTATAAACCCAGTACAGAATTTACTGACACAAAAATCAAAATTTGATCGGAAACTAACCAAACTCAATCAGGTGGAGATCATTGTCGTAAAAAAAGAAAAAAGCAGGGCCCACCCTAAGCATTCGCTATATATATACCTCACCAAATACGATAAAACCGTAAACTTGGCAAATAAAATTGTGTTTTGGCGAATGCACTCACGGGAAAGAAAAATATATATAACTTGATCTTCAAAATGAATTTTTCTAAAAAGTTATCATTTTTTTTAAATATTTTATCTGGTTACAGTAATTCTCAGTAAATGTGCCGCATAACAAATTAGAATTGTGTCCAAATAAAATAAGCCTGAAACAAAGTACAGCCATATAGTTCCCTATGGGGAAAAAAAATTAATCATAAAAAATGTTAAGATTTACATTTGTCGAAGACTTAAGAAAATTGGCGAATACTTTCGATATTTGGCTAATTTACAGGCTAATAATTTGAAATTTTTAGAGTGGATCCTGAATAAAGCTTACCTAAGCATAACATGTCTAGAGAAATTTAAATTTGCAAATTTTATTAAGTTAGAAATTAAACATAATTTTTTTTTTTAAATTTTAAGTGGAAACATATGAAATTATACATAAAAAGGACAATAATTTATTAATGCTATAATGCCTCTTTCCACAAACGCATATGTACAACAGAATATTACCACTCTCTCTCTAATATGATAATTATTCTTCCATTAAAACGAAACCCAAAGTCTTAACAAAACTGAAGTAATTTAAGATAAATAACCATATTACAGTCATGAACAGGTTCAAACAAGATAAATTAAATTTACATTAAATAGAATTTATATATTAGTCATAATAAACATGTGAAAATATTTTTGTTTACATAGTTTTTAATATTAACTTAAATAAATTTAAAAAAATCAAAAAAATTTTCTTTTTCTTTAAGATTTTAGGACTTAACTTTAACCTAAACAAAATTAGGGTTTTGTATCATCACAAAATATCTATTTTACTCTTAATATAGTTACTTTAAAATTCGTATATAAAATTAATTTAAAAAAAAAAGAAATTTAAGAAATAAAGAAAGAAAACTAACTTTCTCCAGCATTTTATCAAGTGAATTGCAAAAACGCTGTTTGCTTTTTGCTATACTCTCCTTTATAAACTCATCATCGTCACAGTTCATTGTTCCTAAAAAATATGCAGTTATAAAACTCATAAGTATAAAAGTACAGTAGAAGATCTATGTATTGCAATCAAATAAAACAAAAATCTCAATTAACTACATAAACTTTGTTAGAGTAAGCAAACAAAATCAGAATGAAGAAATTTTTGAAACAAACAAGAACTATTCACTGTTTAACAAGCTACAAGAAAAATTATTTTGCTAATAGGTGATTATAATTAATAATAAATTTGTTGTTAGTCCTCTTAATAAATAAGAAAAATTTAAGCGCATGATTTTGCATTTTAATGCAATCTGTGTTCAAAAATTATTTTAAAACAGATAAATATGCTCCAGTGCGATGTTTGATAGATAAGTTTAATGATGTGCAAAATTATCATAACACAAAATTCTATTACAACACATATCTCAAGTTTTGTATAATACAGTTTTTCTACTGTATAAAATTAAAATTATATAAAATATAATCCATCTAGTAAAAGAAAATTTAGTGACAGGGTTCCCACTCTTTTAACAAAGCAAAAATTAAGCACTTTTAAGGACTTTTTTTGAAAAAATTAAGGACTTTTTAAAAAAAAATTAAGGACCTTAAAAATAGTATGATTGTTTATCATCGAATAAATATATACCACCAGTGACAATGCTAATTATTTAACTTTCTTAAAAAAAATCAACAATAAAAAATAAAAAAATAACAATTTTATTATAATGTAAGTACTGATAAAATTATTTCAATAATTGTTTCAGGGCTCGTCAAAGTAGGAACCAGACAATTTTTAAAAAATTTTCAGATTGTTAAGGATTAACGACATCTATGAAAATTATTTGTATTCCCTTTTTAATTAATTTATTGAAATTGAATTGTAAAATTAGGTGCAGAAATATATTAAAAAAAGAGTGAATAAAGAAATTTTGGAAAAATATTGAAAA